ATTAGATGTACAGTATGAAAAAAGAAGTCAAGTAAAACCCTAGTGACTGAAAGGATAGAGCTGTCATCAACTGAGGATCTTCTGATATCTCAGAAGTGGAAAGAGATATCAGAAGATCCATTTTGGACACCATGAGCTTGAGATGTCTATTAACTACTCAAAGACAAACTCAAGTGGGCAGCCAAATTCCTAGGAAATAGGCCTGAATTAGAAATATATATTTGGAAGTTGTCAGCATATAAATTACCCACTAAGGGGGAGTAAATTGAGAAGAGTTCAAAGAACTGAGCCCTGGGTTATGCTTATGCTAAGAGGTTGAGGAAAAAAGGAGAACCTAACACAGGATTTGGAGAAGTAACCACCAATGAGGTGGGAAGAAAACCAAGAGTATGGGATCTTGGAAGCAAGGTAAAGAAAACCTACCAAAAAAGAGGACATGATCAATTGTGTCAAATTCCGCTGACAAGTCAAATAAAATGAAGATCAAAAATTGACCATAGGAATTAGGAAAATTACTGTTGAGTTTGACAATTAGAGTCAGCAAAACTAGACAAGTTTTTAGTTTTACTGCAAAGGGAAGCCAAAATATGGAACAGAGGTTGGCTGAAAAAAGGGTAGTCAAGACAAAGTACTGCTTTAATGAAAAAAAAGACAAAGTATTGCTTTGGTTTTTGGGTGGGAGAAATAATAGCATGTTCATATGCTAGTGAGAATACTCAAGCAGAAAGAGAAGTAATGATTATAGGAGAATGAAGGAAAACTTCTGGAACCATGCCTTGTAGGTTAGGAAACTGGATCAGGTGCACAGGTGATCCAACAGGCAGATAATCTATAGTTAACAGGCAGAAAGGTGGAGTACCTAAACACAGTTACTAGCAGGTAGGTAGATAATTGTAAATATCTATAAGAACATCCCTCAAAAGTGGTCTTCTGGAGTGCAGTGTTTGAATATTCATTACTATTTCAACTCCACTAGGTGCCAAAAAGCTATTAAAAGTCTTCACAGAGTGGTAGACAGACATCCCGGGATTACCTTGAGACCAACTGTTTCTAGTGACTACTCCATGGCACTAGACATCTATCCAGGACTCATAAGTGAGGCACTAATTAGCAATTCTAGAACAACTGCATTCCAATTAATCCAAAGTCTTCTAAACAGTAGCTCCTGTGCATTTTTCAAACAATTTCAGAAGTAGAGAAATCTATCATTCTTGGCAACACTGCAGATACTGTTACATCATTTCAGGCACTTTAAATACTACCAAATTCCAAAGTGCAGTCTCAACCTTAGTCCTGACGTTAGTTCATTAGTTTAGGAGGATTTTAAGAACAGAGAGAGTAACATAATTTTCACCAGTGAAGAGGACTAAATAGTCCATTCTGAGTTACTGTCCTCATTTAAAAGATTATGTCCTAAGCTATTCACAAACTCACGTAGGGGTGGTGTTAGAAGCATTTGAACAGCAAATATTATTTTAAATCCTTAGACCCTAGAGAAAATAAAATAATCAAGCATGTTAATTCTAACATTTATGTAACAAAGCTTTCATTGCACTATTCCATCAGTTAGCATTAGCAACAGGTGTCTCTTGAGATTCAGAAAAAAACTACTTGGTAAAAGCAACAAATTCTGATATACAATTCTAACAGCTAAATAAGTAGTAAGCTTTCATTGACTCCGTATCTTCCATTAGAAAAATTAAGTATACATTTTAATAAAATGAAGTTTTTCAACATAACACCCCAGAGAACGTTTTCATAACTAATGTGTTTGTATCCTAAATGTAACTCTCAAGCTGCATGTTATATTAATATTTAAAAAAAGAAAAAACATGCTTCATTAAATACAAACCATCTACTGCAAGTTAGTGTTTCCTACCATTAAAGGGATCACATATGCCTTTGCAAATCTGATGAAAGCTATGCATATAATTTCAGGGAATTCATGGATGTCTTGAAGCCTATATATAGGTCCTGCAAGTTTAGAGAATCTGTAATTAGTAGAAAAAACGGAGTCCAAAATCAATCCAAAAACATAGGAAAATTTAATATATGAAAAAAGAAATTATAATATATGAAAAAAGAACTGTAACATACAATGGAAAATGATTTATTAGTATATTATTTGCCATAAGTTGCTATTCATTGAAAGAAATTATAATAAATCTCTAGAAATATACGAATGCTTTAATGAACTAAATGTAAAAAATAAAAATTATAGGATACTATAACAAAATATAGAGAATACATAATCTTGGTTGGGGACAGTCTTCTCAAGTAACAGAAGAAACCTACTTGCCTAAATTGAGAGATGTGACTGTGTAAATTTTGTAACTTATGCTTAAGCTTACAGAAAGCTTTACACTTACAGAAAACAACTGCAGACCTTTTTTTTCCTACAACAGAAATAACCTATTTCAGTCGTTTCATTGGGTAATATAATTATGTTCATTATTTGGATATAAACAAGGAGCAGACATTACACTAAACCAATTTCTTTGTGTCAGAAATTAGATTTTCCCAGAATTATATTCATTCTTAGCAATAAATGCAATTAAACATTGATATTACCATTTAAAAATTCTATTCAAACTGCTAAATCTTAGTGTAATGTCAATATAAAGTCCCAAGCAGCCTGGTATAATTAAAGAAGCACTTGATTTGGAATCACACATACCTGGGTTCCAATCCTGACTCGGCCACTATTAGTTATGTGGTCAAGTTATATAACCTTTGAGCCTATTCCTGCATTTGTAAAAATAGCTTTCTGTGGTGTTCTTGGAAGAACACATAAGAATATCGCATATGGAAGTGCCTAGTACAGAGTCTGATTGTCAAACTATGCCTTCTTCTGCCTTCCTTCCCTAAGTAAGATTACTAACTGGTAACATCTGTTTTAGTACTGTCTTTTGTAAGACTTTTCTTTTTAAGAAATCAAGACTGCTGACATAAAGTTAAACATTTTACTTGCCATATTTTTGCAGCTCCAGAGCATTATTAGTCCTTCAAGTGTTTTGTATTTGAGCTCCTTTTCTTGGCTCATTTTTGAGTATGTGATTTGATCTATATTTACTATTTCTAATAGTAAATATAATAGTAAATTCTAATAGAATTTAAAGGTTTCTTGTAAAAAATCATGGGAAAAAACACATTATTTTCTACCTGTGGCTTTCTACATGTTAAGATAATCCTCTTTTTAAGAACAATTAGTTTGTGTCTATGGAAACCACTCTCAAGTGTTATGAAAAAAAATCTGAGGCAAAAAAATAAAAATTGAAGTTATCCTAGCCACTGTAATGTGCTCAAGAAATATAAATAGCGATACAAGAAAGAAGAAATACAAATCTTAACTTTAATATAACTTTCAAATTTCTCTAAAAGGAGTCATTTTTTTTTTTCTGTAAAGCTGGATCATTAAAGAGGCAAGAAAAATGACCCCGAATGCTAAATGGATCCAAACAAAAAGGAAAAGTGTATTGGCCAACATTCGATGTTTAAGGTGAATAATTTTTCCATCACACAAGACACATAAAGTCATGGTAAATAAATTTGGTATCTCTTCAAAACTGTACAGGGTAAGTTTTACCCTAGAGTTGAGGAATGGAATTATCCTTAGCTCCTCCTTCAACTTTAGCTGCACTTCAATTAGATTTGATACTCTTTGATAGACTGCTCTTTAAAATGTTTCCAAGGCTTTTTGCAAAGTCTGCCAAAACTGCAAATAGGCAGCTATACTTCTACAATTGTTTACTAATACATTTTTCCTTAATGTTAATTATCACCCACAGCAGCATCTAGCTGTTACTTAGTCTAAATGATTTTGCTGCTGGTATTTTATCGCTTGCTTCTCAAAAAGTATTTAAAACAATGCTGAGATGAAAGAATATACACAAACACACTTCACATTACTTTTCCATATTCAAATTACGGCCTCTTGAGCTGATTTTTAAATGCCATGTACATTTTTAAATCAAAATGTATCGCATTCTTTTAACACTCCCTCCCCCACCCCAAAATCCTCCCAAATGCCAAAGTTCCCTACTAATCTGAAAGCACCTATTATCTGCATTTTTCTGGTCTTTCACAACTTCAGACTCCAACATTATATACTTCAGACCCCTTCTCTCATTAAAGTAAGCACTGTTAACTCCTTAAGGTACTTAAGCATATGGTTTATTCATTGCATAATCTTACTTTTCCTTTCACCAACTTAAATCTCACTGCAATTCCCCTTCAGCGTTCCCTTCTCTCCTAAATGCACTACATCAACATTGCCGGGGGCCGCATACGCAAACATTCGTCTCCGTAAACCCAAAATATTAACAAAATTTAGCTCCACTAAAAAAAAGTACTTAAATGCCTCGATGCCTCCTTTCAGTACCACGCTGAAGCTTTTTATTTGCTTTCCTGTCCTACCTTCGCAGCCTATTTCTCCCGTCAGTTGTGTGGTCCCTTGCTGCCCCCAGCACAAGAGTGCAACTCACTACAGTGTATTTCTCTTACCATCATTCCATTTCCGGCCATCTATCCCTTCATGAACCTCCCCGTCCCCAAAAGATGTGTATCCAGGTACCCACACCTCAAATTAGAATACCCCTCGACTGACACTCCCAAGGCTTTCCGTAGACTCAAGAAAACACACAAGGCTAGGCGTTCCTGCCTCCTCTAGCAGTTCCCGCTCCCTACCGAATTCTGTCTTCTCTTGCCGTCTCCCCGGTGGAAATGCCTACTTCTGGTAACCCTTAGGCACGGGAAAGCCCACCTTAGCAACCTCTGCCCGGTGACCTCGCGAGCCCAGCACGTCACTCAAGCTCAATTCACACCATTCTTGGAGCTTGTGTTTTCGATGCCCCCAGTCCCAGCTCTCGATGCAAGCTCTTTCACCCTCTTGCCCCCGAGCCAGACCGCAGGTCAGACGAAAGCCCACTTACTCCGGTCGCAACGCCTCCCCGGCCCGGCCCCTTCCACACCACTCACCCCGGAGTGGCTCTGCTCCTTACCTAGCTTCAATCGAGACTCCTCCAATTTCTGGATTTGGTTCTCCAAGAAGAGCATCCCCACTACGAAGGCCACCACCGCCAGCAGCTGCAACTTGGGCGGCATCATAATCCTAAGGAGCCCCATGAAACCCGCTGCTCGGGATCAAGACATACCGCGGGGGGCGGGGAGCGGGGCCCCGGAGGCGAGTGAGACGCCGGGGGGAGCCCACCGAGCGGAGAGAAAGGCAAGGAGAGCGCGACAGCGAGAGAACCACCGCAGCGACCCCCCTTCTCGCCTCCCCAGTCCCCCGCCCCCAGGCGCCAGCACCAACGCCGCCGGTGCCCGCTTCTCCTGGACCGACTCAACGGCCGCCCCCTCCAAAAGCCCGCGCAGCAAACAGTGCGAGGCGGCTGCCGGGCTCTCGCCTCTCTACTGCCTCAGTCCCCGACCCCCGCGCCCGCCTGCCCGCCTCCTTCCCTTCCTTCCTTCCCTCCCTCCTTTGCTCGCGGCCGCGCGCTCCTCCGCCAGCGCTGCGGCTGCGGCTGCGCCGCCCTCGGCTCCGCCCCCTGCCCATCCCCCACCGCCACCACGCGCACGCATCCACGTACGCTGCTCGGCAACCAGAGGCTCCACCCTCTGCTCCCGTTCAGTTGTGCCTATTGGACCGAAGAAACACCGAGCCTCACTCTTGGTTCGTGTTACGGTTGGTTTCCTTTGCCGTGGGTGTCAACCAAAGCGGCATTCGATTGGGTAAACTTGGAGAAGGAGGCAGGCTGAAACCGGCGAAGGCGGGGCTTCTTGATGGCTGGACGAAATGTCGTGCATAAAAGGAAGGAGCTCCGAGCCGCACAGATTTGGGGAGTTTAGGAAAATGCCTGACGGGGGTTTCGAAAGGACCCAGCGACTTTATATTTATGTCTAATATAAAAATATTTGACCACCTTTAAGTTTCAACATACCCTTAGGTAATACCTGTCTCTGCAGAGTAAGAGACTTGATCACAACGGCGTTTAACATCCTGTTTTGGATCAGGCTCTGGAGTGGACGCCCCTAGCTGAGGGGTCCTCCGGGCAGTCGGAAACCTACGAAAGATGGTAGCGATGGCGGCTGGGTCGAGTGGATTGCTCCTGCCGGCGTTTGGGCTGCGATTGCTCTTGGCTGCTGTACTTCAGACGGTAAGTGGAGATCATCTCCGCGGCAGCACAGGGCGAGTGGGGAATGGTGCGCTGAGGAATACGAAACATTGGGTCCTGCATGGTAGCCACACTTGGAGAGGCTGGGAGGACTGGGATTCCTTAGCGACTACTGCGACCGGAATGCTACGTGGCTTCATTCCTCGTTTGATGCTTTTCCTTTCCCGCCCCGGATTTCTAGCGGTTCTTTCTCCTGACTTCAGAATATCTTGAGTAGTACTTATCTTCTTTTGCAGAGTTCCAGATAAAAACGACCTGTAAACCACACATTGGGCGGGGGGAGGGGGGAGAGGCAATGAATCTTAGAAAGGAATGAAGATTGTTTTTAAACGGGCAGAATACAAGGAACTACCGTTTTATGATAAGGCTCCCTAAATCTTAGAAGAAAGCCCCCAAGTCTTTGGTCTGGGGTACACTTCCTGTTTACTTTTTTTCTCTCAATTGTTAGTGGTCTCTAATTCTTTTATCTCCGAGCTCTGTTATTCACGTGCTGCTGGATGCAGTTCAGTGCCATTTGTGGTTTTAAACAACGTTGTTGCAGTAAAAGGAGCTACTCTATGCTAAAGCATAATTTTTTTTTTGAAATCCATTTTCTAAAATGATAGCCTTCATCTCGTTTAAAATCGGGCAGTGTTAACCAACTTTTTAAATTAACACAACAGACGCGCTCTTAATGGGGAAGGGCTGATTTTGTTTTATTTTTCTGTTCATTCATGTACAACCTAATATTGGTTGATTCCCTCCTAAGAAGCTTGCGATCCATGTTTTGCCTTAGGAATAACTTCTTTTTTTCTAGGCACTGCGGGAGATTTCACACGTTTCATTAATCAGCTTAATTCTTCAGGTATTTTCGTTACTGAGCCTGCTGAAAAATTTTCTCCTAGGAGACCTGGTTTCATTGACTTAAGCAAGGTTTGGGGGAGTTAGGGCCTATACCGAAGACATCCATAAACAGCTCGTGCTTTTCTTTCCTCAAAGAGTTTGAAGTTCCTGCCTGGTTTTTTTTGCAACCATACCTTAAAGGTGGGTTTTTAACTTCTCTAATTAGTGTCATAGATTCTGTTATTCAGGCATTTGATGCCCCTTAGAAATTACTGAAAGACCCCTCTCTAAACTTTCTACTGGAGGTTTTCTCCTTTTTTTTCTTTGCCAATCTTAGAGTCCACCACCATACAGAGATAAGGAGTAACATTTCATGTTGACTTCTCCTGATTTCTCTGTCTTTAATTATCTATGTGGTGTAACCACCCCAAAATTTGGTGGCTTGAAATAACAATTTCTCATAATTTTATGGGTCTTCTGTGCAGTTACTCCGTTGATTTCCTCCGGTTCATGTACGTAGCTGCGTTGAGCTAGTAGGTCAGCTGAACTGAAAGGTCCAAGATGGCTTCATTCTTAGTTGGTGCTGTCAGCAAGGGTGACTTGGTTCTCCTCCGTGTGACCTCTCACCCTCCAGCCTGACTTCTTTTCATGGCAGTCTCAGAGCAGCGCTCCTAAAGAGCAAAAGCTGCAATGCTTCCTGAAGCCTAGCCTTGAAAATCATAGATATCACTTTCACCTCACGATTTTTGTCAAAGCAAATCACAGGACCAGTCTAGATTTCAGGGATGGAGAAACAGACTCCATCTCTGCATAGGAGGAGTGACAAACTCAGCAAAGAAATGTACGTACCAGGATAGAAGGAATTTATGGCCATTAAATAATCTACCACCGTGACCGTCCCCATAAGTCAGAAGGTCGGGTATCATCTTTGACTCTTTTTTTTTTTTTTACATACCTCACATCAGGCAATTACCAAGTCTTGTTATTTTACTTCCTAAATATCTCTCAGATCCATGCACTTAATGTTAATCCTTCATTCAGGCCACCAACATCTGTCTCATTAGCATTAATAGCCTCCTGGTTGACTCGTCTAGCTATCAGAACCTAAATGGTTGGCTTTGTCAGCTTCCCAATTGCCCAAGCCAGCAAGCAGTCATTTTAAAATTCTTTTTCACTCTCTGAATCCAATTAGTCATTAAACCCTTGAAAATCTCCAAGGCAGTCCACTTAATTCTATGTCCACAGGCAGTACCTAAATTTAGGCCACCATTTTTGTTTGCCTAGAATTCCCACAACAGCTTCCTTAAACTGGGTTCCATATCTCATTTTCTCCCTTTCTAATCCAATCTCTACAATGCATCAAGAGTCATCTTTTTTTAGAACTTTATTATTAAAATTCTTCAGTGGTTCCCTGTTGATTTTAAGGTGAAGTCTTTTCTCCTGAACATTCCTTAACAAGACCTGATACTTATTTGTTTAGCCAGGCTTAATTCCCAGAACTACCTCTACTGCAAGAGCCAAAAGGTCAGGTGAAGAATTGGGGTCATTTGTTTTAACATATCTCACATACCATGTTCTGCCTCACCAGGCCTAAAGTAAAGTATTTAGATAAAATGCAAAGTTTAATTTACATACCATCTTCAGATATGCAAAGTCAGATATATTCTCTCCCTTGTGTATTCCATCATCATTCCTTATACTGTATTACACAGATCCACAATCTTAACAGCACCATACCTCTGTGTATGTATCTCTCCACTCCCCCACTCCTGTGCCAAGAATGTAGCTAAGGGGAATACGGAGACCTTATTTTGTTTTTTGTTTTTTTAATATATTGTGCCTCATATGTATTTGTTCACTAAAATCCCTCAGGGGTGCTCCCTGTTCTGCAGGGAGTCGGCTTCTCCCTCTGTGCCGCCCTTCCCCCCGCTGGTGCTCATGCATGCGCACAAAAATAATTAAAATCTTTAAAAAGTAAAATCCCTCAGAGGAGTGAATGGGCCTCTTAGTTGACTTGTGTTTGTTCCTTGCTATCAGAATCCTCAGGATATCTGTAGTTTGTGTAGATTGGTGATGAACTCCTCTCGCTCCCACGAATACAAAGCTCCCATGAATACAAAATGACTCTAGAGAGTCCTGAGCAGTTCACCCTTGGTGAACTATTTTAACTTCCTGAACATTTATTTCTGTCTCTTTCTTGGGTAATGAGTGGTGTTTTTAAGAAAATAAGGCAATAAATTCCTTGAGAAGGAAGAGGGTAGTATGGAGGATTGTTGGAAAAACACTAAAGAGATAGAAAACTGAAAACTGCATTTCACTGTTAGTCCGAAGGAGGGGAAAAAGACCAGGTGGAATAAGTTGTTGGCAATGGTTTAAAAAAAAAAGCCAAATCTTTGGAACCTGACAGATGAATAAAAAGGGAATGAGGGAAGAATTTCTTGGCACCTTGAGGTTGAGCTACCAAGATGGATAGAGGACTTAGTTCCTACTTTGTTAATTTACACTTCTGAGTCCTTAGACTAGACAAGTTTTATCACTGTGCTACTGTGTAGCCCTAATTTAAAGTTAATAGCAATGCATAGTTCTCAGCATTCCAATGAGGTCACAACTGGGAGGATATGAAGTAATTTAATCTGAAAATACATTCTGCGTATACTTTAGCATTAGAAAAGTAATATCTTAGTATGGCCTACGGGAGCTGTTCTCTGGAGCACCCCAGAACTAAGTGGCATTCAAGGCTTCATTCAGCTCATACATAATATTTCTTCATTCAAAAAGGCACTATACTGGGACGCCTGGGTGGCCCAGTCAGTTAAGTATCTGCCTTCGGCTCAGGTCCAGGGTCCTGGGATCTAGTCCCACATCGGGCTCCTTGCTCAGCGGGGAGCCTGCTTCTCCCTCTGCCTGCCCCTCCCCCTGCTTGTGCTCTCTTTTTCTCTCTGACAAGTAAATAAAATCTTGGGGGGGAGAAAAAAGAGGCACTGTACTGAAAGCAGTATAGAATGATACTGTGTATCTTTGATTCTGAGACACAACACCTCATCCTACTTCAAGGTTAACCTCCATCCATCTTATTACAGTGGACCGCACAATTATAATTGCCAGGGTCTTTGTTATTCTTAGTGGTACATAAGAAAATGGTGCAAGAAGGATTCCGTGAGATATGATAGTTAATAATAAGGGTTTTGAGGGCTGATCAGGATTAGAATCTTGATACTGCCATCTATTATGCTGTGTTGTCTTAGACTATCTTAACTATCCTAATTAAGCCTCTATTTCCCTCTCTGTAAAATGGGGATAAAACCTATTTCATAGGGGCACCTGGGTGGCTCGGTTGAGCAGCTGCCTTCGGCTCAGGTCATGATCCCAGGGTCCTGGGATCGAGCCCCACATCGGGCTCCTTGCTCCGTAGGAAGCCTGCTTATGTTCCCTCTCTCGCTGTGTCTCTCTCTGTCAAATAAATAAATAAAATCTTAAAAAAAAAAAAACCTATTTCATAGAGTTAAGATTAAATGGATTAATGATGTAAAGTGCTTAGCGAACTATCTGGTGCTTTGTGAGAGCCTGTTGTCATGGCAGTGCTTCTGGTAGTCATTTTCATGGGGTTCGTCTGTAAACCCATCTATTTGGTTTAGTCTCAGATTTGAAATCTATTCACAATTACATGAGAAACCTATGAGTTTTCTGAGATTAAGGACCAGTTAAGAGAAAACTAATCCTATGTATGTATAATAAAATGTATATACCAGACTTTTGCCTGAAAATGTAATGTTACAATATGGTTAATCCAGTTTCTCTGCCAACAACCCCCATCTACAAAGAAATAATAATACCAGAAAAATAAATGAGTAATGCATGGAAAACTTATAATTTTGAACATCTATATTATTTAGCATTTGATATTTATTAGTGAAGTATTTAAAAATATGTTCTGATATCCTTAGATTCAAACCCTTGAGGGGCATCTGGGTGGCTCAGTCGGTTAAGCGTCTTACTCTGAATTTCGGCTCAGGTCATTATCTCAGGATTGTGAGATGGAGCCCCACATCAGGCTTGTGCTGGGCATAGAGCCTGCTTAAGATTCTCTGGCTCCCACTCTCTCTGCCCCTCCCCCCTCCCCCAAAAACAAAGCCTTGAGTCTGCAAAACTAGTGATAGAAGAGCTAGAAAGTAGTTTACTCATGAAACTCAAGTGAACCTTGTATCTCTACCACACTTACTCTTTATCCTATGTCTAATAATTAAAACATTAAGTAGTGTTTTGTATTTCTTGAGGATTTTTAAGAATACTGGAAAGTGGGGCACCTGGGTGGCTCAGTTGGTTAAGCGACTGCCTTCGGCTCAGGTCATGATCCTGGAGTCCCGGGATCGAGTCCCGCATCGGGCTCCAGTCCCGCATCGGGCTCCCTGCTCAGCAGGGAGTCTGCTTCTCCCTCTGACCCAACCCCCTCTCATGCTCTCTCTCTCTCTCTCATTCTCTCTCTCAAATAAAGAAATAAAAATATTTTTTTTAAGATTTTATTTATTTATTTATGAGAGACGGAGAGAGAGAGAGAGAGAGGCAGAGGGAGAAAATAAAAATCTTAAAAAAAAAAAGAATACTGGAAAGTGAATAATGCAAACATCTATGAGGTACCCACTGGGTCCTGTGTAAAAAATTAGATGGTTCCTGTACTTTTTCTCCTTTAATCCTCGAAACTCTGTGAGATAAATGGTAGTTATTCCTATTCAGAAATTCAGAAGTAAGGCTGCTCTGTGCTGGCATTTGAATCAAGATGTCATCAGACTCCAAAACATATGTTTTACATATTTATGCCACCTGTCAGTAGGTGCTCAATAAATGCCAGAATAAAATCAAATAATACTACATGATCATTCATTTGAAATTTTTGTTTTTTGAAACATACTTTGGCAATAACAATTTCTTTTTTCTTTTTTTTTTTTAAAGATTTTATTTTATTTGAGAGAGAGAGAATGAGAGCATGAGAGGGAGGAGGGTCAGAGGAAGAAGCAGACTCCCTGCTGAGCAGGGAGCCCGATGCGGGACTCGATCCCGGGACTCCAGGATCATGACCTGAGCCAAAGGCAGTCGCTTAACCAACTGAGCCACCCAGGCGCCCCTGGCAATAACAATTTCTTATATTTGTTAAGCAGTTCATGGTTTCAAAGTGATTTCACTTTTATTGCCTATTTTAGTTACCATGGCTGCAAAACCGATCACCATAAAATTTAGTGGTATAAAACAATTATTTTGCTTTTAGATTCTGTGGGTTAGCAATTCAGACAGGTCACAGCAGGGTGAGTTGTGTGTTCCATGGTGTCTCAGCTGAAAGACAGGTCTGAAATATGAAGTTCTTTATTCAGATATCTGCTAATTGATGGTGGTTGTCAGCTGGGGGCTTCAGTTGCTCTCTACATGGGCCTCTCCGTGTTGTCCCTCTAATTTAGGTTACCTTACAGCGTGGTGACAGAGTTCCAAAATTTAGTGTTCTGAGAGAGGCAAAGACACAGCACGTAGGAGCACTAGCCGTTCAGAGGCTGTTTCCTTTTTTATGACCTACCCTCAAAAACCACATAGTATCCCTTCTTTTGTACTCTGTTGGTCAGAATCAGTCACAAGCCCCTGCCCAGATTCAAGGGGAGGGAAAATAGCCTCCTACTTCTCAGTAGAGGACTGCCAGTCACATTGTAAGAACACCATGTGGGATGATGTATACATATTGGTGTGGCCATCTTTCGAAAATACAGATTAACCTGTGAAATAGATCAAGCATATCGCTTTACTAATCAAGAAATTACTCAAAGTACTAGTACAGTAACACGTATCTTAGGTGCCTCCCACAACACTGGGATCTATTTTGAATATTACATACATTCCACATTATTACTGAGATAAGATGAAAGATGTATAAGGTATCAAATTAAGGTATTGACTGGCACAAGACCAGTGGGGTGATCAACATTTTGGGAGTGTATGCCAGTACTCCTTTTTTACATTGGCAAATGCCCTTGTGTTTTTATCTACCTGGTTTGTCTAGAAGAAGGTTTGACAAACTATAGCTGGTGGGCCAAATCCACCTGGCCCTGTTTATGTGAAGTTTTATTGGAAGACACCCACTTATTTATTTTTGTCTATGCTGCTTTTGTGCTGCTATACCTGAGTTGAGTAGTTGCAACAGAAACCATTTAGCCACCAAAGCCTAACACAGTTACTCTCTGGCCGTCTACATAAAGTTTGCATACCCTTGGTCTAGAAGATCAACCAGTTGCAGTCAAACAGTCTGAAATTCCCACTGCTTGAGGCTGTAGTTTTCATTTGTTCAGCACAGATGAGAACTAGCTTTAAATACAGAGTAATAATAGTTTAATGCTTCCCCTCAAAAGAGTTCACAGTACTAGGGAATCAGACAACTCTACATTTACATAGTACAGTGTCATGAGTGGTGCTATCTTAGAACTGTGCACAAATTTATTTCTCTGAAAAGCACTATGGCTAAAGATGAGGATCTGATTTTTCCCCCCCAGAGAAGGCTTCCTGGAAGACTGATACTGATCAGGTTCTTGGAAATAAGTAGAAATTAAAAAGGTGAAAAGGGTGCCTTAGATGTAGGAAAAGTATGAGCAAATGTATGAGTAGGAATTTTATTCTTCCAGGAATTCATTATAGCTGAAAAGTAAAGTAAAGAAAGGTAAGACTGGCAGTGACCATTTAAACCACTGAGGCAAGAAATGATTTGAAAGCTCTTTAAGAAACAGAATTGCCAGAACTTGTTAATTGCCTATAAGAAGGCAGAGAATGTAGAATTTAGGATGACTGACGTGGGCAACTAGTGGTCAGGGAAAATGGTGCCATTTTACTAAGATACCGGGTACATTGGGAGGAATAGATTTAAGCAGAAAAGATAAGTTTCACTGTTGGAGTTTTTGAATTTGCAGTGCCATTGGAACATATAAATGAGGTCAGTTAGGCTGTTGGCTTTGAAAGTTTGAACTTAAGTAAAAGACTCAGGAGTTTTAAATAAGTGGGTATTTGAAGCCTTGGGAAAGATGCAGTCATCTATAGAAAATATGTAAAGCAAAGACAGAGCCAGAAATAGAAATGGGAAACAGCAGCACTTAAGAAGGAGGACACAAGCCCATGGAAAGAACAGCTGGAGCCAGAACAGTTTTGAATACTTTTGCATTTAGTGATTTTTGGCAAGTTTAGTCAAATGGTAGGATCGGAAGCTAGACTATAGTAACAATTGAGAAATGACAGTGTGGGGAGAGCAATTAGAAAGGTAAGGTTTGAATACACTGAAGAACTGAGTTACCAATTAAGTTAAATCCCTGTGGAAATGGCAGAAGGTAAGCTCCAAAGCACAGGTAGAGGGATTGACCTTAAATGAAGGTATACCATATTCACTGAGACATGCATGAGAGAATGGATAAGGGAAGAGAACAGATATTTTTGAAAGCCTGCTTTTGCTGGTTGGTCTGATTGGTTGCATAAGTAATTTCATTCATCTTACCTCAATCTATTTTATGTAAGAATTATTGCTTTCCAATATAAATATGGAATAGTGTTTTATTTCTCATTTTGTTTATTTTCAGGTGTCTGCATTTGGGGCAGAGTTTTCATCAGAGACTTGCAGAGAGATAGGCTTCTCCAGCAACTTGCTCTGCAGCTCTTGTGATCTTCTTGGACAGTTTAACCTGCTTCAGCTCGATCCTGACTGTAGAGCATGCTGTCAGGAAGAAGCACAATTTGAAACAAAAAAGGTATTGTTTTCTAGTATCTCTCTTCCATTAGTTGGTGTGTAGTTGAGATAAGGTGAAATGTTAAATTGCCTCATCAACTTAAATATAAAGTCTCTAGCTTTTACATTTTGTAGTTTTAGAAGTCAGCTGATTTCTTTCTGGCCCACTAGATCAATTAAAGCGACTAGGAAGGAAAAGTTAAGGTTTATATGCTAGGACCCCATTCTATCATGTTTAGCACAGGGGTTGTTTAGCAGAGGGGTTGCAAAATTACTATAGCATGCTTGGATCCTAAAGTTCTCCAGTCTTCCTAATTTCTGGCCACATGAAGATGCTTCTATTCATTTGTAATAAGAACTCAGTCTTAAAATGAAATACAAGATGAAATTGTAGCACCTAGGGCGCCTGGGTGGCTCAGTCGTTAAGCGTCTGCCTTTGGCTCAGGTCATGATCCCGGGGTCCTGGGATCAAGCCCCGCATCGCTCCCTGCTCAGCGGGGAGTCCACTTCTCCCTATACCCTCACCCCACTTGTGCTTTCTCTCTCTTCCTCTCTCTCTCCCTACCAAATAAATGAAATCTAAAAGGGGGGGGGCACCTGGGTGGTTCAGTCGTTAAGCGTCTGCCTTCGGCTTAGGTCATGATCCCAGGGTCCTGGGATTGAGCCCCACATTGGGCTCCTTGCTTGGCGGAGAGCCTGCTTCTCCCTCACCCACTCCCCCTGCTTGTATTCCCTCTCTCACTGTGTCTGTCAAATAAATAAATAAAATCTTTAAAAAAAAAAAAAAAAAGGAAAGTATAGCACCTACTACCTGGCACATAATTGTAAGTGATAAACTATAACTTTTTATCTAGTTTACAAAGAATATGGTCTGTTAATTTACATGGCTTTTACTAATATTTATAGACACGTAATCTCCTCTTTAACACCTGAAAACAGCCTAGGATAGGTAGTTCTAACTGTCCAATAAAATCTGTTTTGTCCCATTGTTCAAATTAATAGTTAACTTGCTTGATTTTTAAATCTTTTTAAGCCCCTACACTTTAAAATTCAGAGGTGGCCTGAAAAGATCATTTATATAAGCCAAATAAAACTGAATCAGTGAGTCCCCTGTGTTTGGAATGAGGAAAAAAAGTTAGCATCTCTGTTATGTTTCCTTTTCATATTCTCTTTCACTTGTACATACTGAATTCTGTTTTGAGGTGTTAGTTTGTAAAGCTTTCCATAATTGCACCCTCTAGATAGTAAAAGGTTAATTTGCAATACCAAGTATAGTTTTATCGTTCTAAAAGAAAAATAAGCAAAACTTTAAAAATGTTAATCTTTAACCAAAATTTAATATATTTTTTTAAAGATTTATTTATTTGAGAGAGAGAGAATGAGAGAGACAGTACATGAGAAGGGGGAGGGTCAGAGGGAGAAGCAGGCTCCTTTGTGAGCAGGGAGCCTGATCGGGACTCGATTGCGGGACTCCGGGATCATGACCTGAGCCGAAGGCAGTCGCTCAACCAACTGAGCCACCCAGGCGCCCCAAAATTTAATATTTGATTTCTCAGTTGTAAACCTGAAATTTCTGCTGTCCCCAAAATAGCTTCAGAGTCTTCTGTGTTTTTCATTTTCTTGGTTCACAAATATCGTTGATATCTTTTCATGTTTAGAAGGTTTCTAGGGGCGCCTGGGTAGCTCAGTCGGTTAAGTGTCAGCCTTCGACTCAGGTCATGATCCCAAGGTCCTAGGATTGAGCCCCGCATTGGGCTCCCTGCACAGCGGGGAGCCTGCTTCTCCCTCTGCCGCTCCCCCTGCTTGTGCTCTCTCACTCTCTCTGTCAAAGCAATAAAATCTTAAAAAAAAAAAAAAAAAAGATTTCTATACATATGAGTTAGTCTTCATTGCATGTAAGGTCATATCTAAACAAGTTTTAAAAACTTGATTTTAAATAGATTTAAGATGTAGGACTTAACTAGTTTAGCATGACCCTTCCCTCTTAATTTTTGGGATTTGTTTTTGATTTTTTTTGTGTGTGAGATATTCATACAGGACGAATTGTCAAAGGAATCTGTATGTCATCCTCTAATCATAATGCTGTTATTCTATGGTCCATACTACTCCTTAGCCGACGATGATTATTTCCCAAGGCACCAAACTTAATTGAATAACAAGGGGTGTTTTGTGATAATAAACAATGTTTATCATATGCAGCATCTTGTAATTAGGGTAAATTGAGAAGCTCTATCCTTTAAGTGATATCAAATATTCCTAAATTGTAAATCAAGTGCATATAAAAACTATTTTTACTTATTGCCCTTTCTCAGTAATCCTTCATAGCATACCATTTTTATGTTATACTTTTACTAGAACCAAGGTTAAATCACACACTTCTCAAATTATATTCCCGTTCAATTTTAATTATTAATTGAGCTCTGTGTGGTATCTTGACACTTCTCAACACTTACAGTTCAGCAATAACCATCAGCAAGTAGTCTACCAGTTAATATATGCCTAACTAATTATACACTGAAATAATTGTAAGTACAAGTGAGGTTGTATCCTAATATAAATTTTATGCTGTCTCCATTGTTTTTTCTTTACTCCTTGCCCATCATCTCTACAATATACTTCTCATTAAGCATTTGCTTAGCATACTGTTGCACAAAATCAATGAATGGTGGAACCAAAACATGTCAGGAACACTTAGAAATATTGCTGGACTTACAAAAGTATGGCATGTTGGACAAGCCTCCCTTCAGATGCAAACCACATTCAGGTATAGAAGCAGTACTTCAGTACTTCAGTCGTACTTCAGTACTGCTCTCTAGATTACTGGTACATGATCATATGTAACATTATATACAATATTTTTTTCTGTCTCAGCCCTGGCTTAAGGCTTAATTTTGAAATCAAAGTTTAATTTAGTCTTAGTTTAATAAAAGTAAAAATCTGCAATATGTAGACTAGTGCCTTACATTAAAAACATTAAAAGTACTTAAACATGTCTCTGTGTATATATATGTATATGTATGTGTGTGTGTGTGTGTGTGTGTAAATCATCGTGAATATAAATTCTTTAGAAAAGAAAATTATACACAGGAGTGTTTTAGTAATTTATATATAATAAAAAAAGTGTAACCAGAATCACTCATTTTGGTTCTTGCTTAGTCATATGGTTTATAGGCCTTTCCAGAGATAAGGCTAATCATTTTTAGTAATGCTTAACTCATTTAACAGGCTGAATTTAGTCTTTGATAGCCAGAAGCATAAAATTTGCTTTAAAAAAAAAAAAAAACTGGAGCACCTGGGTGGCTCAGATGGTTAAGCATCTGCCTTCGGCTCAGGTCATGATCCCGGGGTCCTCGGATCCAGCCCTGCATTGGGCTCCCTGCTTGGCAGGGGGCCTGCTTCTCCCTCTCCCTCCACTGTTTCCCCTGCTTGTGCTCTCTCGCTCTCTTCTGTCAAATAAATGAATAAAATCTTAAAAAGAAAGAAAATGTCTTTGAAATCTCTTATTCTGTAAATATATGCTCCATTATTTTTACTGGGTCTCATTCTCCCCCACCCATTCTGTTCATAAGGGACCTACTAGTAAGCATCACAAATACTAGCTAGAATGAGATTTTTTGATGAGTTATTTTACTACTAGTTTTGCTCATAACTGTGTATCTAGGTACCATTTATAAACATTAGGATGTTGGCTTAATTGTAAAGAGCATACTAATTTGTAATTTGAAGAGAAAACGTAAAAAATATTTAAATTTAAATATTTAAATCTTGGTGCTATTTTTATATGGTTGGTATTTTATACAGTTAGCATGAGTAACTTCGGCTTAATGTATAGAATCTTAAGATGGAAGGGAAGGGACCATTTTTTTTTCTACTGACTGACTTCTTCCTTGTGGTGGGACAACATAGTAACTGCCAGTTCCTGAGTGTTGTATCTTTTAGCTTTTCCCACGAGAAGAGGATTAATTCTTTCTCGTTGACTATTTTTGAGATATTTTAGGCAGGGATTGTTACTAGCTCAAGTTAGATCACTACCAATTGTTAGCTAAGGTAGAGAATAATATAAGGCCCATTGGCTACCACAGCAGCTATGTGGAATGTTGCACTGGGGTACAGAGAGATGAAGCACTAAAGAGCGGATACTAGGTAAGCAATCTCATAGATAACTGTTACTCCCCCCCACCCACCCATGGCTAGAGTAAATAACTTCTACTTAAGCTGTCTTTAAAGATTTAGCTCAAGTGTCCACCCTTCTGGGAAGGCTTCCCTAATTTCAGCTCCCTTACCTCTCCACCACTAGCACTCCCAGGTTATATTAGCTACACCTCTGTATTCCCAAAGCACTGAGGATACCTTGATATGCACTTACCTTCACTATACTGTATCTATTGTTTTGCTTTTCTTTCTTGTCCCATAAAATTACGCTCTTTGAAGTCTAGGACAGTTTCTTTCTGAATCCCTGGCCGTAGCATATAGTATTTCATAAGTTTTTGTCCTTGAATGAGGCTATTTTTACTAAGAGTAAGTTGGAAAAGGTGATCTTTTTTTTTCATTAAACATTTATTGAGTGCTTTCTATATACCAGGCACCAAGCTAGGCATTGCTGATACAAAAATTGAAGGGCATTGGGGCACCTGGGTGGCTCAGTTGGCTAAGCATCCAGCTCTTGATTTTAGCTCAGGTCATGATCTCAGGGTCATGAGATCAAGCCTGCATGGCTCCACGCTCAGTGCAAAGTTGGCTTGAGATTCTCTCTCTCCCTCTTCCCCTCCTCTGCCCCTAATACAATCTTTAAAAAAAAAACAAAATTGAAGGGCAGTCCCTACCCTCAAGGAGCTTATAGTCTAGTGGGGAGATAGACGAGTAAGCAGGCAAGTAAGCCTAGAGTGATAGGTGTGGTTTGCTAGGGGAAGAGGGAACAAAGCTTTGAAGAGTTAAGATCTGGGTTGAGAATTGACAGAAAATGTACCCAGGTGAGTAGAAGAAAAGGGAATCAAAATGGCATTTCTGGGTACAGAAGACTGG